CCAATTATGGGTTTGAATGAATTTTAAAATCTGATGATGGCGCTGTTGTCTCGCCGAAACGTAACGAAATAAACGATATATAAACATTTTTTTATTTCACACTGTGACTGGAGCCCAGTGCCTTTTTCTCTACGCAATTTTTGCTCCAATAATGGGCAGATTGTGATTGAGGCTTCGCTGCCTAAAAAGAATCTAATGTTTCTCAATTATGGGTTTGAATGAATTTTAAAATCTGATGATGGCGCTGTTGTCTCGCCGAAACGTAACGAAATAAACGATATACAAAAAAAATTAGTTCACACTGTGACTGAAGCCCGGGAAAAGAAATAATGCAGTTTTTAAGACATCGATTTTGGAAAAATGTAGTGCAGAAACAGCGCACAGGGCAAAAGTTGCCCCAAGTTCCAGATTTAACTAAAGATTCAGTTAAAGACTGTTGAGAGCGACTCGATATCTACCCCAGTTATTGAGAAGGTTATTTTTGAAAGCTGTAAATCAAAAGTTCCCCAAAGTTCCGGTTTTAATTCAATGGATTCACTTGAGATTTACTGCATAACGGCAATTAATCCTCCTTTAAAGACTCTTGAAAAAATCAGTTTTGTATCTGCTCCTGTTACTGAGAAATGATCCCTTAAAGTCGGTAGTGCAGAAATCGTGCAAACTTCACAACTTGTTTAAAGTTGCGTATTTATTTCAGAATAAACCACCGATTGGATCCAGTTCAAACTTACAGAGCAACGAAAGTGAATCCTTCTTAAATGCTGTTGAAAAGAGCCGCTTGATGAGAAATTTATGCTTATAAACTCTAGTGCTGAAATGACGCATAGTGTAAAAATTCTCCGGATTTCCAAAAAAAAACGTTTAAACTATTCAGTTTCAGTTCGCACTAGAAACGAAGTTTCTTTAAAGACGGTTAAAAATTCGGTCAAAAAGGCCCAAGTTGGCAATTTAACTACAAAGAAACGAACCCATTGATTCACTTCATGCATATTTAGCAATGAAAGCGAAGCTGTCTTTAAAGGCTGCTATCGAAAATCGATAACTGGTCTAATTATTTATAGGAGAAATTTCCCTTGTAAGACTTTAGCGCAGGAACAGGGAAAGCACGAAAAACTGTCCAAAGTTCAGTTGGAATTCATACAAGAAATAAAAGTAGGTCTTTCTTCAAACCTGGTCGAGCTAGTGAAAAATTGCTTCCTGCACTGTCGAAGTCCAAAAACCTGCCGAAAGTCCCCCAATTTATTGGAAAATTTGTGTTGCTTTGCGCAATAAAACATCCCAAACAATAGAGGAAACCCGAGAAAAATAAATAAACCATCAACAAGTAGAAAGTGTGTTGAATAAATTATCCAAATGCGACTATTTCCATGTACAATACGAGAAAGCTTCCCAAGTGGATTTAATAAATGCCAACTAATGAATTTGCCGCAATATTCCGTTAGTCGAAGACGCAAAAATCCCTATAATTTAGCAGCGAAAAAATTTCGCGATAAATGACCATTAGTCCGAACATAAACACTTCGTGAACGCACTAAACATACCTTTGGCCACATCGTTTGCTTTCAGCAAACAGGGAGAAAATGATATGCAAAAGAGACTGCAATATTTCGACTCATTAAAACAGTAAATTTTGGTGCAGGACAACACTCGAAAGAGGAGTTATGGAAGTGATTGTTCCCAGGAATTGGGCAAAAATTCGTTATAAAATGAGGAACATCTGAATCGGACTCAATATGGTTTTCTGAAGGAATAGATTAAATCATCTAGTGAACAATTGCGCGTAATATGGAACGATGAGTTCGGTTATAATCATCAATGGTGTAGGCAAAGCTTTAATAGGCAAAAACCCATTGGTTAAGTGGAGGAATGAAGTAGCTGCCCTTTACCTCCGGCTATGCCGTCACGGTCGGCAAAGTTTCCTAGTTATGAAGTTTAGATAGTGAAAATTAAGAAACGCTATTGAAACAGCCGCGCTTTTATTAATTTAGCATAACAGTTTTTTCGACCCGAGCAGGATTGATTGCAATTAATTAACATCAAGAACCCGATGGTTTTCACGTTGCAGTAAAAAAATCGAGTGCCGTTAAACGCCTTAATGTTCCAGTGTCACTAATAGTAAACTAACTTGTCGCTAACTGTTATTATTAAAACATATCTGCGCTAATTGCGTAAAAACGACACTGAAACTATTATTTCCAACCGGAATAGATCCGGTCTATTTATCATCATCATGGCCTGAAATGGGACATAATAAAACAAGAAATGTGGCACTTTAATGACCGTGTTATTTGTTTAATTCATCATTCCATGGGGATTTTTCATGCAACTGTAATTACTTATTTTTTTCGGTTTTGTTTAGGTATTCATAAGCCAGTATGTGCAGTATCAGAAGCGAAGTTCTTAACAGAAGCTGGCTGGGCGGACTTGCGAAAGCCTTTAGACAATGATGTGCCCTTTCGGCTGTTTAGGGATGAAGGGCGCACTTTTTTACAAGTAAGTATCGTCAATAGGAAATCATCTTGCACAGTGCTCAATGCGATAATGCGACATATCAACCATTCTCTCTAAATGGTCCAGACAGCCCTAAATGTGCCTGTTGAAGAGTGCAGCTGGATATTTAGTGCTGGAAGAACAAAAAGTCAGTGTCCAAAGTTTAATAATTTATTGTTAAAAAACTGCCCGATCGATATGGTTCAAGTAGACACAGGAAAAAGCTTGGAGCTTCCGACAAAGACTATTGAAGAGCGCAACTTGATATCTGCTCCGCTTATTGAGGAATTCGCTTTTAAACACGCTGGTGCAAAATAGGAAAAGGTCCAAAAAATTTCTCTCCTTAAAAAATTCTCTTAAAAGACTTCTCTTAAAAAAATGCTGAAGAGCGCAGCACAATATCTGGTCTGGTTATTGAGAAATTCTATCTTGAAGACGGTCCTGCAAAAATGACCAAACGTCAAAAAATTTTCAAAAGTTTAATAACTTATTTTGAAGGAACTGCCGAATAGATTGAGTGGAAATTTACCCACGGACAAACCTGAAGCTTCCCTTAAAGAATGTTTAAAAGTGCAGCTTGAAATCGACTCTGGTTATTGAGAAATTCGCTCTTGAAAACAGTAGTGCAAAAATGACAAAAACTCACAAAAATATCCAAAGTTTCATAATTTATTTTGAAAAAACTGCTAAATAAATTTAATTCAAATTTACACAGGGAGAAACACGAGGTTCTCTTAAAAAATGTTGAAGAGCGCAGCACAATATCTGGTCTGATTATTGAGAAATTTTATCTTGAAGACGGTACTGCAAAAAGGACCAAACGTCAAAAAAATTTCTAAAGTTTAATAATTTATTCTGAAGAAACTGCCTGATAGATAGAGTTTAAAGTTTCACAGAGACCAACTTGAAGCTTCCCTTAATGGATGTTGAAGAGTTCAGCTTGAAATCGGGTCTTGTTATTGTGAAATTCGCTCTTGAAAATAGTAGTGCGAAATGACAAAAACTCACAAAAATGTCCAAAGTTTCATCATTTCTTTTGAAAAAACTGCAAAATAAATTTTATTCAAATTTACACAGGGAGAAACGCGGGCTTCTCTTAAAAAAATGCTGAAGAGCGCAGCACAATATCTGGTCTGCTTATTGGGAAATTGTATCT